TATGATATTATTTACATGTCTAATTTTTGCAGGTGTTATTGTTACCATGGAGCCTAATGTGTAAACGATCATGGTGGCGGAGCTCTCATTGGGGGAAATAAGGGACCACCTGCCTCCTAACAGGGTTCACACGGAGTTGGAGCAAGGCAAGCAACCAACAAATACTGCGGTGTTTACCGTATTGTAAGTCTTATGTCACTGTTGGTATCTCACTGTTGTTTCAAAAACTGTTAGTGAAATGTATGTTGTTCATTATATGGAGGTTTAGCAAACCCTCGATATAACACCCATGACTATTACACTGTGTACCTAGCCAACAAACAGTGTACTTCAGTGTTCCACCCATGACTATTACACTGTGTACCTAGCCAACAAACAGTGTACTTCAGTGTTCCACCCATGACTATTACACTGTGTACCTAGCCAACAAACAGTGTACTTCAGTCTTCCACCCATGACTATTACACTGTGTACCTAGCCAACAAACAGTGTACTTCAGTGTTCCACCCATGACTATTACACTGTGTACCTAGCCAACAAACAGTGTACTTCAGTGTTCCACCCATGACTATTACACTGTGTACTTAGCCAACAAACAGTGTACTTCAGTGTTCCACCCATGACTATTACACTGTGTACCTAGCCAACAAACAGTGTACTTCAGTGTTCCACCCATGACTATTACACTGTGTCTGGTACCCTACCCTCATGGTCTCAGAGACTATGTAATATTCACTTAACCAACTTTTACCTAGACAGTTATGGTATATTGACTATATCATATAATATATATTGAGCTGCTATATACACTACTGTAGGTTGAGCTGCTATATACACTACTGTAGGTTGAGCTGCTATATACACTACTGTAGGTTGAGCTTTATATACACTACTGTAGGTTGAGCTGCTATATACACTACTGTAGGATTGGGCACATATACACTACTGTAGGTTGAGCTGCTATATACACTACTGTAGGTTGAGGCTGCTGTAAACACTACTGTAGGTTGAGCTGCTATATACACTACTGTGGGATTGAGCTGCTCAATATACACTACCAGCCAGGTTGAGCTGCTGTAAACACTACTGAGTTGAGGCTGCTGTATACACTACTGTAGGTTGGGCTGCTATATACACTACTGTAGGTTTGAGCTGCTGTATACACTACTGTAGGTTGAGCTGCTGTAAACACTACTGTAGGTTGAGCTGCTGTATACACTACTGTAGGTTGAGGCTGCTATATACACTACTGTAGGTTGAGCTGCTATATCCACTACTGTAGGTTGAGCTGCATAAACACTACTGTAGGTTGAGGCACTATATACACTACTGTAAGGGTTGAGCTGCTATATACGCACTGTAGGTTGAGCTGCTATATACACTACTGTAGGGTGAGCTGCTATATACACTACTGTAGGTTGAGGCTGCTATATACACACTACTGTAGGTTGAGCTGCTATACTACTGTGGGTTGAGCTGCTGTATACACTACTGTAGGTTGAGGGCTGCTGTATACACTACTGTAGGTTGAGGCTGCTATATACACTACTGTAGGTTGAGCTGCTATATACACTACTGTAGGTTGAGCTGCTATATACACTACTGTAGGTTGAGCTGCTATATATACACTACTGTAGGTTGAGCTGCTATATACACTACTGTAGGTTGAGCTACTATATATACACTACTGTAGGTTGAGCTGCTATATACACTACGCAACAAGTTGAGCTGCTATATACACTACTGAGTTGAGCTGCTATATACACTACTGTAGGTTGAGCTGCTATATACACTACTGTAGGTTGAGGCTGCTATATACACACTACTGTAGGTTGAGCTGCTATATATACACTACTGTAAGGTTGAGCTGCTATATACACTACTGTAGGTTGAGCTGCTATATACACTACTGTAGGTTGAGCTGCTATATATACACTACTGTAGGTTGAGCTGCCATACACTACCTGTAGGTTGAGCTGCCTATATACACTACTGTAGGTTGAGCTGCTGTAAACACTACTGTAGGTTGAGCTTTTGCTATATATACACTACTGTAGGTTGAGCTGCTATATACACTACTGTAGGTTGAGCTGCTATATATACACTACTGTAAGGTTGAGCTGCTATATACACTACTGTAGGTTGAGGCTGCTATATACACTACTGTAGGAGTTGAGCACAACTATATACACTACACAATAGGTTGAGCTGCTATATACACTACTGTAGGATTGAGCTGCTATATACACTACTGTAGGTTGAGCTGCTATATACACTACTGTAGGTTGAGCTGCTATACACTACTGTAGGTTGAGCTGCTATATACACTACAGTAGGTTGAGGAGCCTGCTATTATACACTGCTAAGAGGGTGAGCTGCTATATACACTACTTTGTAGGTTGAGCTGCTATATACACTACTGTAGGTTGAGCTGCTGTAAAACACTACATGAGTTGAGCTGCTATATACACTACTGTGAGTTGATACTTTATATATACACTACTGTAGGTTGAGCTGCTATATACACTACTGAGGGTGAGCTGCTATATACACTACTGTAGGTTGAGCTGCTATATACACTACTGTAGGTTGAGCTGCTATATACACTACTGTGAGTTGAGCTGCTGTATATACACTACTGTAGGTTGAGCTGCTGTATACACTACTGTAAGGTTGAGCTGCTATATACACTACTGTAGGTTGAAGACTGCTATATACACTACTGTAGGTTGAGCTGCTATATACACTACTGTAGGTTGAGCTGCTATATACACTACTGTAGGTTGAGCTGCTTATATACACTACTGTAAGGTTGAGCTGCTATATACACTACTGTAGGTTGAGCTGCTATATACACTACTGTAGGTTGAGCTGCTATATATACACTACTGTAGGTTGAGCTGCTATATACACTACTGTAGGTTGAGCTGCTATATACACTACTGTAGTTTGAGCTGCTATATACACTACTGTAGGTTGAGCTGCTATAGCTTACTACTGTAAGGTTGAGCTATATATACACTACTGTGGGTTGGTGCTATATACACTACTGTAGGTTGAGCTGCTATATACACTACTGTAGGTTGAGCTGCTATATACTACTGTAGGTTGAGCTGCTATATACACTACTGTAGGTTGAGCTGCTATATATACACTACTGTAGGTTGAGCTGCTATATACACTACTGTAGGTTGAGCTGCTTCTATATACACTACTGTGAGTTGAGCTGCTATATATACACTACTGTAGGTTGAGCTGCTATATACACTACAATGATAGGTTGAGCTACTGTATACACTACTGTAGGGTGAGCTGCTATATATACACTACTGTAGGTTGAGCTGCTATATACTACTGTAGGTTGAGCTGCTGTATAAACTACTGTAGGTTGAGCTGCTATATACACTACTGTAGGTTGAGCTGCTGTATATACACTACTGTAGGTTGAGCTGCTGTATACACTACTGTAGGTTGAGCTGCTGTATACACTACTGTGATTGAGCTGCTATATATACACTTACTGTAGGTTGAGCTGCTATATATACACTACTGTAGGTTGAGCTGCTATATACACTACTGTAGGTTGAGCTGCTATATACACTACTGTAGGTTGAGCTGCTATATACACTACTGTAGGTTGAGCTGCTATATACACTACTGTAGGTTGAGCTGAGCTGCTATATACACTACTGTAGGTTGAGCTGCTATATACACTACTGTAGGTTGAGCTGCTATATACACTACTGTAGGTTGAGCTGCTATATACACTACTGTAGGTTGAGCTGCTATATACACTACTGTAGGTTGAGCTGCTATATACACTACTGTAGGTTGAGCTGCTATATACACTACTGTAGGTTGAGCTGCTATATACACTACTGTAGGTTGAGCTGCTATATACACTACTGTAGGTTGAGCTGCTATATACACTACTGTAGGTTGAGCTGCTATATACACTACTGTAGGTTGAGCTGCTATATACACTACTGTAGGTTGAGCTGCTATATACACTACTGTAGGTTGAGCTGCTATATACACTACTGTAGGTTGAGCTGCTATATACACTACTGTAGGTTGAGCTGCTATATACACTACTGTAGGTTGAGCTGCTATATACACTACTGTAGGTTGAGCTGCTATATACACTACTGTAGGTTGAGCTGCTATATACACTACTGTAGGTTGAGCTGCTGTATACACTACTGTAGGTTGAGCTGCTGTATACACTACACTCACTGTAGGTTGAGCTGCTATATACACTACTGTAGGTTGAGCTGCTATATACACTACAGTAGGTTGAGCTGCTGTATACACTACTGTAGGTTGAGCTGCTGTATACACTACTGTAGGTTGAGCTGCTGTATACACTACTGTAGGTGAGCTGCTATATACACTACTGTAGGTTGAGCTGCTATATACACTACTGTAGGCTGAGCTACCGTAGGTTGGCCAATTCACTGTAGGCTGAGCTGCCATATACACTACTGTAGGCTGAGCTGTTGTATACACTACTAGGTTGAGTTGCTATATATAATGGCTGTAGGTTGAGTTGCTACTGTATACACTACTGTAGGTTGAGGTTGCTATATACACTACTGTAGGTTGAGCTGCTGTATACACTACTGTGAGCTGTTGAGCTGCTGTACTCACTGTACTACTGTACACTACTTGCTGAGCTGCTATATATACCGTAGGCTGACTGTAGGTTGAGCTGCTATATACACTACTGTAGGCTGAGCTGCTGAGCTGCTATACACTACCGTAGGTTGAGCTGCTGTATACACTACTGTAGTTTGAGCTGCTAGGCATTGTAGGTTGAGCTGCTATATATACACTACTGTATTGAGCTGCTGAGCTGTTATATACACTCACTGTAGGTTGAGCTGTTATATACACTACTGTAGGTTGAGCTGCTATATACACTACTGTAGGTTGAGCTGCTATATACACTACTATACCTGTATGTTATTCTCCTTAGGGATGGCACACGACTGGAAGTTATAAAGTGGTAGACGAACACCGCGAATTTATGGATGATGTTAAGAGAAGGTGCAAGTTTATACATAATCTCAACCCTTAGTTATCCTTCTGACATAACCTAAAGTAACGTTAACCCTAACATTAATCTAACATTAATCTAACAACATAACTCAACCCTAACATTAACCTAACCCTACATTAACCTAAACATTTAACCTAACATTAACCTAACATTAATCTAACATAATATTAACCTAACCCAACATTAACCTAACCCAACATTAACCTAACAACATTAACCTAACCTTAACATTAACCTAACCTAACATTAACCTAACCCAACATTAACATTAACCTAACCTAACATTAACTCAACCTAACATAACATGAAACTAACATAACATGAACCTAACTCCAACATGAACCTAACATAACATTAACCATTAACCGAACCTAACATTAACCTAACATAACATTAACATAACATTAACCTAACCTAACATTAACCTAACCTAACATTAACCTAACCCAACATTAACCTAACCTAACATTAACCTAACCTAACATTAACCTAACATAACATGAACCTAACATAACATGAACCTAACCCAACATGAACCTAACATAACATTAACCGAACCTAACATTAACCTAACATAACATGAACCTAACATAACATTAACCTAACATAACATTAACCTAACATAACATTAACCTAACCTAACATTAACCTAACATAACATTAACCTAACCCAACATGAACCTAACATAACATTAACCTAACATAACATTAACCTAACCTAACATTAACCTAACATAACATGAACGTAACCCAACATGAACCTAACCCAACTTGAACCTAACATAACATTAACCGAACCTAACATTAACCTAACCCAACATGAACCTAACATAACATTAACCTAACCTAACATTAACCTAACCCAACGTGAACCTAACATAACATTAACATAACCCAACATGAACCTAACATAACATTAACCTAACCTAACATGAACCTAACATAACATTAACTAACCATTAACACTAACCTAACATTAACTAACCCAACATGAACATAACATAACACCTAACATAACATTAACCAACCTAACATTAGCTTCTTAACATGAACTAACATAACATGAACCTAGCAACATGAACCTAACATAACATTAACCTAACCTAGCATTAACCTAACCCAACATGAACCTAACACCCAACATTAACCTAACCCAACATTAACCTAACATAACATTAACCTAACATAACATTAACCTAACTCAACATGAACCTAACATAACATGAACTAACCCAACATGAACCTAACATAACATTAACCTAACCCAACATTAACCCTAACCCAACATTAACCTAACATAACGCATGAACCCTAACATAACATGAACCTAACATAACATGAACCTAACATAACATTAACTTCAACTTAGCATTAACCTAACCAGCATTAACCTAACCCAGCATGAACCTAACATAACATAGACACAACGCAGCATGAACCTAACATAACATTAACCTAACATAACATGAACCTAACATAACATTAACCTAACCCAACATTAACCTAACCCAACATGAACCTAACATAACATTAACCTAACCCAGCATTAACCTAACCCAACATGAACCTAACATAACATTAACCTAACCCAGCATTAGCTTCTTAACATAGACCTAACATAACATTAACCTAACCCAACGACAACCTGGCAACATGAACCTAACATAACATTAACCTAACCCAACATTAACCTAACCCAACATTAACCTAACCCAGCATGAACCTAACATAACGCCAGACCTGGCAACATTAGCCTAACTCGGCAGCGGACCTAACATAGCATTAACTAACTCAACATGGACCTAACATATGAACCTAAGCATAGACCTAAACATAACATGGACCTAACATAACATTAACCTAGCCCAACATTAACCCTAACCCAGCATTAACCTAGCAACATGAACCTAACATAACATTAACCTAACCTAACATTAACCCTAGCCAACATGAACCTAACATAACATTAACCTACCCTAACATTAACCTACCCTAACATTAACCTAACCTAACCTAACATTAACCTAACATAACATTAACCTAACCCAACATTAACCTAACCCAACATGACACAATCTAACATAACAAATACTAACACAACACACCCCAACTCAACACACCCCAACACGACACACCCCAACGACACACCCCAAACGACACACCCCAACCACGACACACCCCAACCGACACACCCCAACCACGACACACCCCGACCACGACACACCCGACCACGACACACCCGACGCGACACACCCGACCACGACACACCCGACAGCGACACACCCGGTACGACCCACACCCGGACACACGACCACAAGCCCGACACACTAACCCGACACACCCCAAGCCCCGACACACCCCAACCCGACACACCCCAACACGACACACCCCAACACTGTAACGGGCCGAATTTTCTCTTTTCATAATTTACCATCCAGATATTCTTTTCTGTTATGATTCATCAATTCTTTGGTTCTAAGTATATTTTAGATTCTTATACAAGTAATTCTCTTCTCAGTTATGTATGTTCTTTATCTTAAACTTTCATGATGTATATATTTAATAATTTCTATGCGGTGTCGTTAGTTCCACAATGTATATACCTGTCTTATCTTTCTCTTCTTGTACTTTCCAAGTCTTTCATTTCATTCATATACATTATATTCTCAGTTTCAATGTTCTTAACTTTCTGAAGTATACTTTGTTTTTTGTCATTCTTATACATGGGTTAGTCTGAGGAACCATGTTACTCTTAGTACAACACTTTTTATACTTACAAAGGGTAGCTCCCACTTCCTCTGAAGACTCGCATTTAATTAGGGAATTACCAGATATTGTTAAAAAACTGTGTCTTAGTTGACTTCTCTGAGATGGGTGGACGGATACAGGCAGTTATATGCATAGAGAGGCTGGCCACTTGATCTGGGACTGAGGACTGTGAGCTTGAGAGCAGTGTTAGAGATGGTGTTTAGATCTGTTAGGAGTGAAGGGGTCTCTCAGGCTACTGCTCAGTGGTAGATCAGCAATGTGTGGTGTCCAGCTAAAGACTGACTAGCTATACCAGGGCAGTGTAGAGTATACCCAAGACAATATACCATAACAACAGCATTATATTCTCTTAACATCATTGTCTCCTGTACAACACTGAGTATACCCAACAGAACCTAAGACAATATACCATAACAACAACATTATATTCTCTCAACAGCTCTGCCTACAGCTTATTCGTGGGAACAAGATGGACTTGACCGTCAACTGTCGAACGTATTGAACTCACTGAAGGAATCTCAAGAGTATTACTTCTTTGGAGTAAGAAAGAACTCGACCGATGACGGTAAAATTTTCTTCGAAATCACACAGACGGCAGTACAACTCTTGTCCATGTAGTGATGATTGTCTCACTTACATTACTTGTATTATTATTATTTTTATTAACCATTCCTAGTTGATTTAGTACCATAAGCTGTTGAAGCCCAGTCTTGTACAGAAGTAAACGTTAATAGTTTATTATGGTGTTTTAGTATTGCCCAAATTTCACCACATTGTAGTATTAGCTCTAATTATTCCTTTGCAGCATCATGGATAAATAAAATTACACTGTTTCCTCGTAATTTTGAGCTGCCAGTCCCTCTTGTGCAGGGGTGGCCAGCCTTTTGTGTGATGTGATCTACTTTTTCCACGGTTACCCTGACTCGATCTACCAGCCTAATATTCACCCATTGCCACTAAATACAGAGAGAGAGAGTAAACAAATAATATTTTTCAATAATTGTTAGGATATATTGTTAACATGACAAAATCATAAACTTGCTTTACTAATGAGATGGTTAGCACTGCATGTGGTGCAGGAGATTGGTCCTAGAGCAGGGCTGGGGAACCTACTGTAAGTGTCCAAGGTGGCACATGGCTGTACATGATGCTGGGAGTGATTAGTTTTTTATACAAGTGTTGGCTGGGGGATCATGTGAGTGGACAAATGTTTTAAAGTCCCTGCAGGTCAAATCAGTATTCAGGTAGTGACAGAAGTGAACGGTTGGTGTTGGTTTCGTTCTGTTCATAGTTTTTCTTGTGTTGTTTGTTAGTGAACATTGAATTGTTTTTAATTTTTTGAACAGGTTTCTTAAAGTGCTTGCCTTTATTTCAGTCTCCCTCTCTTATAATGTGTTAGTAAAACAAAATGAATACCAAGTTAATACAAATTTATTTTTATTATTTTAATGTCAAACAGAATTGGTGCCTTACTCAACAAGGGGGTACAGTACAGTACAGGTTGTACCTCTCTAGTCCGGGACCTGACCGGTGCCGGACCATGGAAATTCACCCTTTTCCTGGATAGATGGTGACTTGTGCTTACACGCGAGCACCACTTTCTCTGCTTCGTGGTCTCTTTGAAGACATATTGAAGGGTTAAATGTCGTACAGTAGCTTCTCAAATTTCGCGAGTTTTTAATTCGACGTTTTTTATTTGGGAAAAAAAATACACAATTTAAAATTTTGAAAGGCGGAAACTCAAATTTCGACGTTTTTAAAAGGCCTGTCAACGTTCAGACGTGCACAATCGTGTAAACAGCGTCATTTCTCTTATGTACAAAAGATTCATTATTGTTTATTACTGAATGTCTTTTTGATTGAATTAATGTTTATGTTTGCAAAATGAGCAATACAATTCATTGATAATACATAGAATATTAAAACACGCGAGGAAATGAGACAGCATTGTTTTAGTTGATACATATCGTTATTGCTTTACATAAGAATATGAAAGCAACACTTATTTACTGTTCAAACAGAGAGAGAGAGCGAGCGAGCCGAACTGCTGGATGTAAACAAACCTTAATTTCCCGCGGCTTTTTTTTTTTACGGGGTTTACCCCACCTGGGCACAGGTCACTGACCCACATTGGGGCCTGAGGGGCGAAAATTTAATACTCCTGTAATAATAATAATTCAGATAAGTAAAAAATAAATAATAATAATAGCTGCCTATCTTCCTATTGGGCAAGCTAAAATCGTTCCGTACCACAGAATGCCGGCTGACTAGAGAGGTACAACCTGTACTGTACTCGGCCTCCACAGGGGGGGTGTACTACAGGATGTAACACTCTAGTAGGGTTTTGGGGGGTTTCTTAGCATCCTGGGACAAACCAGGATATTTCCTTGGATTTCCCGCATCAGGTGATATTTGTATTAACTAATGCTATATGCTAATCCTACATACTGTACTTCATTAGTGTAGTATCTAAATTATTTGATAGGCAATTGATTTGATAAATTTTATTACACTGAAGCAAAGTTCTCTTTATTAACTTGCATACTGGTGTAAAAAAAGGTTTTGTTGTTCCATTACCCTCAAAAACTTGGGTCGACTTATAAACGAGGAATATCATAAATTAACGATTTCTTGGTAAAAAAAATATGGACCGACCAATAAAAGAGGGAGGATTATTATTACGAGACTTTACACTGAAACGAGGGTAGTTTCAACAAAAAATATTGTATATTTCCATTCAAGTATTTATTCAAGTCAATTAGGAGGTGTCATGGGTTTGGTATGAATCCGTGGTAGTAGGAGTGGATTATATTATATAAAGATAATAATATGTCGTATTTCTTATTTCTTACCGTAGAGTCCGATACCTTCACACTGATTACTTACAGGAGATTATGGCGTATCTACGTAGAAGTTCACTCCACCACTCGACATTCCATTATTTATACTTGATAAATGATGATTTAATGAATTCATTTAATTTTCAACATCCATCTAAGTTATTGGTTATACTATGTCATAACCAATCAGTCATTACCTTTAGTAATAATAAGATAGGATCACAGATACGGGCAGATAATTGCACTTACATTTATTTGTCAAGCTTCCATACAATGATTTACAATTTGCATGGATATGAGTTACTCACGTTCACGCTGTAATAAAATGAATCTTCTAAAACAGGGAATTTTAAACTTGGGGACACATTTGGTTACTCTACTATGGGTGGGACTTAACAGAGCCTTAATTCTTCAAGTGATACATTTACTGCCAGCCTGGATTGCTTTTGTTGCAACTAGGCTTCTGCACAAGAACTTCTTTCCACGGGCCACAGCAACAAAAAGTACTCTTGGGTTACCACACATGGTGTCGTGCAGGAGAACTCTGTAAGCGTGACTTGAATTAACCATCTAGGTGCAATAGACCAGCCTGAATTGCTTTTGTCGCAACCAGGCTTCCACACGTGATATTTCCACGGGGATAACAAACCTAGGTTAACACGCTTAGTCTCGTGTCGACCTTCCACGGCCATAACAACAAAAGGTACTCTTGGTGTACCACACATAGTCTCGCGTGACTTGAATTAACCATTTAGGTGCAATAGACCAGCCTGGATTGCTTTTGTCGCAACCAGGCTTCCACACGTGATATTTCCACGGGGATAACAAACCTAGGTTAACACGCTTAGTCTCGTGTCGACGACGGTTCACAGGACGGAGTGCGGTGGAGGACTCTGTGTGGTGTGGTGTGGTGTGGTGTCCTGCCCCCCCTTCAGGAGGGAGAGGATGGAGACGACGTCCTAACTAACCCATGGCTCAGGGGATACTGCTTAAAATGAGGTTTTTGGGTGTGAAGCGATGAACAGTACAACACTGTTTCACTGCCCACCCCCCTAAAGGCTGGCTGACATACACTAATTGAAAAATACATGTCCCAGTTATGCCTCGCCGGGCGTCTTATCTCTGGTAAAACAAACTTTGGAGTTGGTTGCGTGGGTAAGCCTAACGCAACCCATGACAGGAGGGAATATTATTGTAATACAACAGTTTTTTTAACTGAAAACCATTCGAAAACCGATTACGGTAACATCTTTTGAACAACGAAACAAAGTGAAAGTGGATTGTTTTCGTCATAATTTTATCCCACTTTCCACTGTAATACGTACGTCATTTCAGAAAAAATATTACATTTCTGTGAATGCATTATATCAAGCACAATATGAATAGAATACCATTGTAATATAACAGTATTTTAACCAAAAACTATTAAAAAACGAGTAACTTCTCTTGAACATCGGAAGGTTAGGTGAAATATTTTGTTTTCGTCATGTAATTTATCCTACTTTACATTGAAATACATCGTTTCAGCAAAACTACTATTTATTTCCGAGAATATATTCATTCAGGCACAGTTAAGGTAAAATATACATGTGATGTAACAGTTTTTTAACTGAAAACGATTCGAAAAACACGTGTACCGTCTAGCTGATACTCAACAGCTGGTGGTGCGTCATGCATCGTTGTAAACAATAGGAGGTTGAAGTAGATTACCGGGTATTATATTAAGTGTGAAATATCGAAAAGGTTTTTATTACCGGTATTTTTTGTAGATCAATGAGAACTGTGATACCGTATATGATAAGTTAGCCTGTGCTAAGAACTTCAACATAGACTACTGAAAGCCCGTTGTAAGGTAATTTAGCATATTGTAAGTTGGTGAGCTTCATTTACTGAAGGAACTGCACAACTTTTCATTACTAATTGGTGCGTATTTTATGTTTCCATTGTTTACTGGCAGTAAATGGTAAATATTTTTCATGTCTGAAGCTAAAAGTTGCTCCTCGCCCTTCCCATCATGCATGGGTCGACCTAACAAAACTATTACGCATGTATAGGACGACCCCCAAATTTTTGCCTAAAAATTTGGTCTTAAAAACTCGAACTATACAAGAGTATATACGGTACTTCTTTTCAGTTTTCACAGAAGAAATTCGCGAGGAAATTCCAGAGCTGGAACTGATATTTAGGGGAAAGGAAGAAGAGAAATTAAAGAATATCACTATCAGAAAAGAGGATGTTCAGAAGAGGATAAATAAACTAAAGAAGACAAAATCCCCAGGGCCGGATGAAATTTTCTCTTGAGTCTTGAAAGAGTGTAGGGAACAGATTAGCGGACCCCTCGAAAATTTATTTACAAAATCATTAGACACGGGAGTTGTGCCAGACTTGCGGAAACCGGCAAATGTAGTACCCATATTCAGAAAGGGAGACAGAGCATCAGCGTCAAATTATCGGCCGATCAGTTTGACGTCAGTAGTGGGGAAATTTCTTGAATCAATTATAGCAGATAGCATCGATCGCATTTAGAGAAAAGCAAATTAATTTACGACTCTCAACATGGGTTTACAAAGGGAAAATCTTGTCTAACAAATCTGATGTCGTTTTTTAGGAAAGTCTTCGAGGTAGTAGATACTGACGAAAATTGCCATGTTATTTACTTAGACTTTAGCAAAGGCTTCTGAAAAAAATTAAGGCTCATGGTATCGAGGGGAAAGTTTTAAATTGGATAAAATCATGGCTCACCGATAGAACGCAGAGGGTCAGCGTAGATGGTGTTAAATCTGAGTGAGGCCGTGTAACCAGTGGGGTTCCCCACGGGTCAGTACTAGGCCCACTCTTGTTCATAATCTACATAAACGATCTAGATACTGGGATCAGCAGTGACATAAGCAAGTTTGC